ATGTGTCATTAGCTACAGTTTTGCAAAAATATACCACTAGATAGAGGCACTATAACTACAAAATATTCAATTTTACGTAGTTCTATGTTGGTTTTTTTACCATAACAAAATAACGAAGTTCTATGTAAAAATTACTAAACTTCATTAAAATTAACATAGGACCTTGTAATAGTAAGCCAACGAATTATGTAAGCTTTCGTGGTCACTGACAATGTTTGTATGATGTAAAACGGGACGTTTACGGGTGACGGGTATACGAGTACTAGTACGAATATGAGTGGCATAAAAGTAAGTGTAGTAAAAAACAAGGTAAATATTGATGACTTTAAACAAACATTTTGCAACACTGTAATATAAACGCTTGATTCTTTTAAAGTAAACAAAAATGACGTCAATGCATTCTTTCAATTACTGCAAGAAAGAAAAACTATCCCACAACCAATTCAAAGGATTTAATTATTTTTAGGTTCTTATAAGAACTAAATAGCAACCGCCATAGCAGATCGATCCTTTCACTGTATACGAACGTAATATTGTTTAAGAAATATTTTGCAAGAATTGTTGAAAACGTGACATTTTGAATCGTGGTCGAGTTGGTCTTCTGTGATCTATTTGCTATGCGAGTATTACAATAAACGTTTAGCAACTATTTTTTCCTACCTAAAAAGTAGGTAGGTACTATATAAAACTTCTTTCGATTGTTATTGTAACAAAAAACAATTGTGAGTTTTGAGTAACAATAGGTGGTGATAAAATACTACTCGATAAGAAGTAATACTGCTATGTAGATTAAGACGTCATGCTAAAGCTTTTCTATATGGTACATATGGTAACTAGTAACCAATATTACTATGTAGGTATAAAATAATATATTAAATAATTCAAACCATAGAAAAAAAAATATTATCATGGTACAGTAGCTGAATATGGTATTCAATTTTTTCGACTTAATAGAATATTATATCACTGTGAGTTTGTTAGCCGTATTTGTACTAGGTAATAGACATACAAGATTGGATAAATTTTGGGATTCCGGCTCCATTTTATACAAAATACATCGAGGATATTATTTAGAGAGAATAAAGAATTTAATTATGAATTAATACTTTTGCGTTTAGCTTTAGTACCTGGGCGACCGAGATCGCTCGGCAGTTATATGGTTTTTTTTATTTTTGTGAAAAGTTGTGTTTTTTTTTTTCAAAAAATACACCTATATAGATAAACTTAAAAAGTAAAACCTTATCTAAATACAAAATTTGATCCAAATTGTTAGAGCCGTTTCGAGATACACGAGATTTATTAAAAGAATCTCTCATTTAACATAGTTAGATCATGTTTACATTTACAGTCAGTAACTTGTTGCCATATGCTGATATTCTTTATACTGGTTTAAAATTCAAATATGGAAAGAATCATGGTGATCGTAAAAATTATTATAATAAAAATAATAAAAACATTTACAGACTAAAATTAGATATAATGTACAAAAGACGATAATAAGGAAAAGCAATTTCCCTACAAAGACGTAAGAAAGCGCACACCACACGTACACCAAACAGAAAGGTATAGACGTGGATATAACGACTAGCGAACTATTGGAACTAGCGCTACCTGGATAAAACCTAGCGTGAAAATGGCGTGAAATCACATTATTGGAACTTTTGCCTCACTCTGTTATTATATTTACTTGCAGTATACGGCTTGTTAGGAGTTTGTGAATAAACTTAAGAATTATTTCGCAAAGGCGCACATGAAAGTTAGTTCAGAATAACATTTTCGATTTGTCAATATGCTAAATGCTGCCTTCTACAGTTTGTAATTTCTTTTACCTGTATATCTAACGAGATATTTTTGGCAATTCCCGTACATAGTATAAATATAATTGCAAAGTACCAGGATTAGGTTTTTTGAAAGAGTCTATTTTGTATAGTTCTTAATTAAAGTTTTACTTTAAGTTTTGCTAATATATTTTTTATTTTAATTCAATTACTTTGAAGTTAAATTGCTAGAATTTATTATCACTACACGACGTTATAACGGATACAGTAAAGGTTAAAAATGTAACCTAGCCCAAGCTTTTTAACTCTTTTAATACACTATATAATATTCCCTCAACGACCACGGATACGCCGGCGTTACAGTTAACAATAGATTTCTTAGAAATTTAATTAACTTCTTAGTTTACCTGGAGATGACATATTATTTTCAAAAACTATGTAGAGCAATTCTTAAATGAAATTTCAGACTACATTACGTAAACAAGACAAATTGTTATTTAAAAGGGCGAAACATAATCGACGTATTCTGTATAATATAATCAAAGGGCGGATATAGTTTTATGCCCGTCACGTTGAACTTCTTGCGTTAGGACTTAATAACGAGATTACGAAATAATTACTTATGTCCTCCAAGACAAACAATTTTCCATCGGACCTCGTATTATGTATAATAAGTTAGGGGAACATTTATATATAACGTATATAATTACCATACACGTATGTAATCATTTTCATTCAGTATATTCATCAAAACCATCAACATAACGCTAAGGAACTCTCCTACATGAATAGCTTAGTTTGTATTCATTAGCTTTTCAATTATAATGCTTTATTTGAATTTGTGTGTGACATGAGCTTTATATAGACCTCATAATACATCAACACCTTAATTGAATGTAGAGGTACTAAAGATATTATTAATTTAATAGTACTTATTTTTACATATACACTTCTCTGTGTGTATTTTCTATTCTGTCAATCACAAAACATGACATCGAAAACTAGCTAGATTGTGATGTAAGTTCAGGTCTACTTTACCGTATTGTCATAGGTAGATTTTTTGTTGATATCATCTATGTGCATTAAAAGCCTTTTTTATCATTCATCCAATTGTACTTAATGTGTCTGATTAAACAAAAAGACCAACATTTTTTTATAACTGTTAATTTATCTATACTAATATAATAAAATGGTAAAGTTTGTGAATTGTGAGTTTGTGACGTTGTAGGGGGTAATCTCTGGATCTACTGAACCGATTTAGATGAAATTTAGTAAGAAGATAGTTTGAGACCCTGGGAAGGATATAGGTTACTTTTTATCCTGGAAATCATCCCTTAAGGGGGTGAAAATGGGGATGAATGTTTGTATGGGGTATCTTTATATAATAAAATATATTTTTCATAATAAATTCCACTTAAAAAATACTATTACAAGAATCTAATACTGATGTTTTAGTTTCCACCGAATTTTCCGTTACATAGTATCATTTACTATAGCTTAGAATAATGCCATCCATGATCAAGCGATGAGCGATTCAATTTATTCTATGGATAACGTCAAACTTATTTGTCTTATAAATAAAAACAATATGGAGAAAATATCAAATGTACAACGTGGCCGTTACATATTCTATTATTTATTAGCTACTTATTAAAGTGATTAGTTTTTCGGAACCTTCGCTTATAATTGCCTACTAAATAATTAAATTTCATATTCAGGTATAGAAAAGCCAGCTCCACAATAATTATTTTGTGTTCATTTTATGGTTAGCTGCTCAAATTAGAAGTGCCCAGTTATAATATAACTTACTAAGTTAAACGAAATGTCTTTATAAATATATTTATACCTTTACTAACAACGGTTAAAATTTACATAGCATGGAATTTTATAGCTGACATAAATAACATCAGTGTATTTTAAACTCAAACATTAAAATAAAACAAAGACTTCTAACTTTTCCATAACAAGTTTCAAATGCAACGTATTTCTTCCACAAAAGGTATGACAAGTTTGAACTTGAAAAAGGTACTATTATAGTCTAGATCTAAATACAGATGGAAAAAGTTGGTATTCTACGAACGCGCTAGCTTCCTTTATTACCCTTGCAATAAGTCTGCCAGCTGCTTTGACGCAGATGCTTACGTAATTACACGAAGGGGTGACTGGCATTAAACAAACGCCTGGTTAATTGTTTCGCTAATACTACGGTGAAATAGGTCAAAGGTAAGAACTTAGTTTCTCGAAATCGAATATTATGACTGAGTTAAAGTTCACGACTCGTGATTATAAATATATAATAAAAATAAGTAATTTTTAATTATAAAATTAATTATAATATCGCTAAATAGATATAAATTATTGTTTTTTTTTTGTATTATTTGTTACCAATTAAATGCATATCATAACACTTTGTTCAGTATCCCGTTATTCTACCATAAGTAATAAAAATAAATTAAAAATTATATGTAAATACATTCTCATCAGTAATAAGTTGAGCAGGTGTATTTATAATTAAACCCTGTAGTAATGAGATTTATGGTTACTATAATACAATGGTAACTGTGATAGCTATTTCCATTGTTTAACTAACTTTCATTTAGTGCTTTGCACAAGCTTCAATTTAGTTAGGTTTAGCCTATAGATTTAAACGTAAGGCTTTCAATTTATTTAGGTTAAATCATCAATAAAATATTATATTATATTTTTAATAAAGTATAATATATACCAGAACACCTACACTACTGCCTTAAAACACTTTTTTAATTACATTTAATGTCTATTCATAAAATACAACTTTGTGACAAAAATATTACTGTAAAAATTTGAGCCCATTCCAATAAAATATATACATATAATAAAATTTTAACTATGCCGAATCTGTACATTAAATATTTTTTGGAAAATATTTTTGAAATAAACATTATTATCGATACAGAGGCCAGACAGACAAAAATTCTAAAAACTACAGATTCGGCCGCTGTATCAATAATAAAGTCTATTTCAATAAGATTTTCCAAAAAATATTTAATGTACAGATTCAGCTTAGTTACAATTTTATTATATGTATAGATATCTACTGATATCAACTCAATCTTTTAGACGCCTTATTTTAGGTGTTGATTCGTATAGGTTACTAATTACGATTTTAAATGGAATACATAGTTTGATATTATATAAGATTAATATGAAAAATTAATTATTATGAAACAAATTTCAACTCACCGGAATCATTTTCGGGGGACATGTGTGGTAACGCCTGTATGCCGCCCACCTGAAAATAAATTATGTTGTATTAATATTTTACAAGCAACTGTGTACCGGTCTGTATTCGGTCGAATATTTAAAACTATTATCGTCATTTAAAATTACAAAATTAAATACTGTTTGTGCATAATAATTTTAAAGTAGATAACTGTCAAACTAAACAAGTAAAACATTCTATACGTTAATAATGTTTTGACAATTTAGTGAAGTAGGTAATCATTTAGTTAACAGAACATGTCAATCCCATACGTTTATATGTTACTAGCAGAACCCGCGGCTTCGCTCGCGCTTAAACTACAAAACAACTTTATAAAGGTAGGTTTCATACAAACTTTCATGCCCTATTTTACCCCCTTATGGGATGAATTTCGAAAAATGCTAAAACGCGTATTTATTTAATTCTATTGAAGAGCATTAATACCAAGTTTCAAGTAATTCTGATCATAAATATTTTTTTGGGTTGTATTATTTATAACATGTTTTCCCTTGTGGAATAAGATAATATTAGTTTGGATACTAGCGTTTGCCGACGTCTCCACCATTTCTGAATATTTTAAATTAGAATAGTCGTCATTTTTAAATAAGAAGATTATTTACATTGACAATTACATTAACGTTTACATTATACATGAACATCACGTCTCAAAAACTTCCAACCCCTCTTTTACTCGTTTAATCAAATTTCCAAAAATAATTTCTTAACGGATACCTACGCTATCCATATGGAGAAATTATCTGCCTTTGAATTCTGACTAAGCAGTAAGTGATAGGTATTTTGCTTTTATATGTAAGTATGAATAATTTATATATAGATGCTAGTACCACCATCACCACCGGACAAAACTCGCTTCATTCCTTCGATACTTTAATATTTAACAAAAATGTTACCGTTACAATAATAATAATACAAACATAAATGAAGTATTTTTCTTTCTCATAGCAAACTAACAATGTTAATGAAGGATTTCACGCCACTAAATTAACATTAAGAATAAGTTCACTAAGCTTAACAGACAGTGACACAACTCAGTAAACCTAGGCTTACGAGAAATAATTAAGGTTATACCATATAAGCTTGTACGATGATATATGTATGTTTGTGTATTGTATATATCTTTGGGCTTAATTATATTTTTATGTTGCAACAGTATATTATTTGGGGCTTTTCCAATGTATTGTCGACTTATTAATAGTATTTTAATTAAATGCACCAATAGTTTATTTTAAGGTTTGAAGATATTACGTCTTATTTTTTTTATGTTATCTTTTATATATAAATAGGCAAAGACGCAGGTTCTGTACCTTTTTCTCCTCTGTCAACCGATTATCTTCTTTTTTTTGACATGACAAAATTTAAGAACAGTTAGTTTTTTATATAAATAGGTAAATTCTATCCATATGTAGTATATGTTTTTCTAAAAAAAAATATTACGATTATGGACCCGTTTGATGATGATGATGGTACAGATTTTCGTCCACTGGGCTAACGAATTAAAAAGAAAAGATTTAAAAAAAGTATATTTAAAAATAATACAGAAATGCAAAGCTATCTCAAATTCTTATAAAATACGAACACTTTATTCAAGTATAATATTCACGAAAACTAAATAAAATACTATATATTGCCTTATTTTAGGCGGATACAGAATTTCGCGCGTCATTGTTTCCCGGCTTACTCGACAATACGTAATACAATGTTACATCGCATGTTACACCCTAATCCGGGACCCGACTGCGCTTTCACACTATTCTAAATGGATTTAAATGCCTCAGCATAATCCTTTTTGTAATAAATAACCCTCTAGAATATTCATGGAATAGAATATTCGTGGATAGTATAAAAGTTAAATAGATTTAGGTATACTTTTTATGTAACGTAGTTAAAACAGGAGTACTATGAGATATGTTCATAAAATTATTTTATCTGCAAATTATAATATGTGATGCAAGCTGTACCCAATAATTATTTGTTCGTTACAGCATCCAAGTAAACAAACGAGATGAGTTAGGAACATAAATGAAACTCGTTTGCACTCACATACAACTGCGCGTAGAAATCCAACACCGTGGTCTCTAATTAACGAAAACATTTCACCCAAACCACTAAATTACAGTTTCTAACACTTAGTATCACTTATCTAACACCACAAATTAGCATTTACCGTCATTAGCATTCATTTGTGTCTCGCCTACAAATAGAATTTAATTGAAATGTTTCTGTATTGTATGCCCGTTTTAAAGTCAATATGGAATATTTACTAAGCCGATGTTTAAATTTGCTTTAGGCAGTTTAACACCATCATCATATAATAAACATATCAGTTGTCTTGTCAGAATACAAAAATTAAAAATTGGTATACATAATCCATATTTAAACGAATTGTTTATTCAAAGAAAGCGAAAGTGAATATTTAAAAGCAATGAAAGCTCATTCAAACTCGGATTTCAAAGCTCCCATTGCGCTTAAGTATTCAAGGAACAGTTTCATGGCGCTACATATTCATAATCTCAAGTAACTCGTGGTCCGAGGAGTGTAGGAGTGACACAAACGTGTTATTAAGATTTCAACTTTAAAGACAGCCGCGCTCGACATCGGCAACTAAATGTTGAATGAAAGGTAGGATTCGTTGAGTAATATTATGTTGTTGTAAAGCCGCGGAGAGGAATTGCAGGCGTGCCTGTTAGGTCTCAGACGTGACGGTACAAATTACACTACGGCGTTTGAATAGCAATACTAGGTATGCTTGAAATTGTCTGACAGTTAATTTATCCTAAGACCCTGTATCGAGACTTGGCTATATGTCGATAAAAGTGCTGATGCGATGTAAACAAACGTTCGGTTGACACTTTTATCGACTTAGATTAGATGTAGGAAATGTTTATTACACACAACTCACGCGCCAAAATCAGTGATTCGGAAGGGACAAATTGGTTGGTCCAGAATTGCATATAGAAGCGTTGATAGTTAGTGCGTGAACGCTATCCGTCACCTCAGCGATATAGGAATTTGGCTTACTCGAACCAATAAGTTTTGTATATCTATACTTGTTAAATATTTTTTTATTACAATAATATAAATATGAAAGTAACTCTGTCTGTCTGTCTTTTCATACTTAAACCATTGTACAGATTTCATTAAATCTTTCGTCAAAATCTAGCTTGGGGATGAACATAAATTTCCTTTTATTCCCGCGAACGGATCTGAGAGCAAAATTAGTGTTCTATAAAAAAGGAATTATAACGATTTCAATGTTTCATCAATTTAACGTATTGAGTCATCATGTATTCGACGATGCGTTTGACTCAGTTTGTAGTGACCCTACTTGCTATGTCAGCGTTCGCGGGTTCGAGTCCCGCTGGGGCTTTCATTTGTATGATGAGCACGAATGTTCGTACTCCAGTCATGGGTGTTTATATTTATAATATGTATGTATTAATGTCCCAACATATTTATAAAAGTCATAACTTCGAGCACCGTACGTAAAGAATTTACTTAGTTAATTTTATGTTCATCTACAGACTACTATTATAAATGCGAAACTTTCTATTTGTCTGTATGTTGGATAATTTTTTTATGCTGAAACGACAGGACGGATTAACTATGACCTGAAGTAACAAATAGGTTAATATGAAGCACTTAGAGGGAAGCACCAGAGCGGAGCGAGGCTAAATCGCTAGTAAAGAATAACTTATACATAGGACTATATTCGTACAACAATCTATATAATGAAATCGAATTTGTACATAGAATATTTTTTGGAAAATGTTATTGAAATAGTCATTATTATCAATACAAAGGCCGAATCTATAGTTTTTAGAATTTTTGTCTATCTTTCTGTCTGTCTGACTGAATGTCTGTATGTCTATCTGTCTGTCTGTGACCGCATCACGAGAAAATCACTGGACAGATTTTTTGAAATTTGGTATGATTGTAGCTGGTTATCCGGGTCAACATATAGAATACTTTTTACTGCGGGAAAATATTTCATCTCTGAGAAATCTATACTAAATGTTAAAATGTAACTAGGGACCAACCCGAGCGCAGCGAGGGTAAGTCGCTAGTTAATATATTTGTATATGTACATACTAGCAAGTAGCCAATTTTTACGATTTAACCATATATTCTATGAAAACCCAAAACGATTATTTTCAAATTGATGCAAGGAAGTGTATAGAGCATAATTTGGGCGGCCGCTGTCGCTCGCAAGGTTCGGCGTGAAATATTTGGAAGCGGCAGCGACGGGCGCGGCGGAACGATTTGCATACAATGAACCTCAATCGAGGGAGGGTCCATGACTGGAAAGCCCGCATCTTGCTAACATTTCGGAAGTACCGTTCTCTTATCATCTGATTTTATTACTATTATTTAAAACAATTTTATTTAAAATACACTTAAAATGCTTATCAATCAGTATTGTGTTTTTGTAACTTAATTTATTTATACATTTATCTTTTGACACAGATCTCTTTATATATGTTTTTAAATATCTCTTTGCATAAACATATTATGATATATGTATGTATTTGCTCTTGAACGACAATAGAAGCCCAAACACACATACTACATGTAATTACAGGAGTAAGACTTAAAAGTACAATCATATAATCTATACTAATATTATAAAGAGGTAAAGTTTGTGAGTTTGTGTCGTTGTAGGAGGTAATCTCTGGATCTACTGAACCGATGTAGATGAAATTTGATAAGAAGATAGTTTGAGACCCTGGGAAGGACATAGGATACTTTTTATCCCGGAAATCATCCCTTAAAGGCGTAAAAATGGGGATGAAATTTTTTATGGGGAATCAAGCTAGGGACGAACCCGAGCGAAGCGAGGGTGAGACGCTAGTCATTTATAATCTAACGAAGAAAAGCTCTTATTCTTTCATTTTGTCACGCAAATAATATAGTATAAGAATTAATTTGGGGTTCCTGGCCCACTAAACCATGTCAATATAAAGTTCAAAGTAATTTCAAACTTAATTGATTAAATTTTCAATAGCAGCGGGTGTAATTGGAAATTTGAAGTGACGTAACTTGGCTAAATTTCTGATTTATTTGGAAAATATTTGTAAAACAGTGCATGTTTTATTCAAAAACAATTTTAATTAAATATCAAGTGCATCAGTCTATAAAAAGGTAGCATGCCGAAGGTAATTTAATCTTTCAATACGGTAAAGGATTTTAAAGGCCGTATGGCCCGATATCTAATCAAATTAGAGACGAATAAACGTTAAAACCTTTCAAAACCAAAGCCTCTATATCACATTAAGAGACCACCCTGAGTGGAATCGTTTCGCTGTAAAAAGATTAATGTCACAATAAGATAAAAAATAATATTTGATGCCATAGTTTAGGCATGTCTAAAGTATATTTAATAAGTCGACATTCAATATTGAGTGGGGCTTAGTAGCTAAAGCAAAATGTTATTTTTGAATTAGCAATGTGTCATTAACATTAAATTCTAATTCTGAGAACACGTATATATACAATATTCATATAAAAAACAAACATAATAATAGCGTAGTATTGTTTCGGAATAATTATATTTTCGGACTCTATATCGATAATAATGTCTATTTCAATTAGATTTTCCAAAAAATATTTAATGTACAGATTTGACTTAGTTACAATTTTATTATATGTATAGATTGTTTAGGCCAATTGAAGTCAAGCTATGTTTGTATATTTTTAAATTTCCCCTATTAAATAATCTATTATACAACAAAATCCCGTTTTAAGAAGTCTAGTTTTCCTCAATTTCAAAATCATCACATTTATTCTAAAATAGTTAATCTAAAAAGTAGACGGTAAAAATAGAGCGTTAAAATGGTATTAAGCTTGGAATAGAGATCTTTTTCGTACGGATAAATACCTTTCCAATAGGTACTCAAACGTACATTAATCCTGTATTTCCTACTATTGTTTCTCGAGGGTTGCTTCGTGCGCATATGCCAAATGTAATGGGGCGGTGTTTAGTCACTGGCAGGCACTGGCACTTACACAATCATGCCGTCAAGCCAGACGTGGGAAGCATCTGCCAATCGACGATTAAGTGTTCACCTCTTACATAAAAGTGCATGTGATTTATACGTACTTATGAGAACACTGAATGTAAGGTTTCTACTGCAATTTAGTTATAATAAAGTAACATTGTAATTTTCTCGTTATATTATCACGCTGGAGTTTTCCATATTATGTGCCCGTATGGAATAGAGTCTAAATCTATAAAGATTGTATCAAGGTTGTATCGGCTTAGTTACTAATGATGAATACATTAAAATATTATAGAATAATAGGTTACAAAATTACTATGTTATACATATATACATATATGGATATGAGATAGGATACTGCTAGGCAAATGGCAATTAATTGTTTCTTTTGGTTCCATAAATTATTAACGGCCTGGAACTCATGAGTCTACTAGTCGGGATATATACTACCTACTTGGAAGTTCGCAAATCTTTGAAGAGCACTAGCCTAGTAACCAGGATCAACTGCAGCCTAATCTCCGCTGACGAGGTAGAAGATGCTAAAGCAAGAAACAAAGCCCACATACAAGCGTCGTTCATTCGTACAGGCTTCTGGGTGCCTCTCGCTCTAGAACCAACGTATGTAGTGTTGGATGTGGCAGGATTGATAGAGGATATACATAAAATCCTTTAAGGCAACGACAATATTAGGAGGAAAATGACATTTTTCGCTTTATCCTTGGATAAAACTTGAATCATTAGTGGAGCAGAGCAACAGTGGAATTTGGCAATTTCGATTTCCTGAGACCTTCCGTCGTCCAAGGTTGATCATTGCAAGGGTGTTTTTGAGTAAAAATCAGTCATGTCCAGCCATGTCAGGCACCTCGGTATATAGACTCGACTATTGTTCTTGAGTTAAAGAAAGCAAATATTACATACCATGTTAAAGCAAACGGAATGATACAGATAAAAAAGAACTGCAGTTCTTTTTATCTGTATCATATCGTTTTTTTACTACTAAATATTTTTTTGCACAAAATAATTCTATCTACAACTTTCTAACATATTATTTGAAATACTATTAAATTTAATTTATTACCTCACTGAAGTCAAATTCAAAAGTATATGTAATTTTTATGCATTAAAATCTTCGCTCACATACTATGTACTTATACAGCATTCGATGTACCAATAAGCTATAAAAAGCGACTCTATAAGTATTGCCGGATGTAATGATTACCAAAAATTACAACCTTCGGACCGACACCACTGCGCCAAATTACAAAAACAAATATTCATTTACTGGCTCATTATATGAACATACCAAGATGAAAAGGCATCAAGTAAAAGGTATCATTATTAAAAATGTTAACTAATTCTAAATAATCCTTACCTTTTTTTTTAACGTTGGGAAATGCATTTACGCACGACGTGTGGGACTCACCGGCGTAATACAGCCAGTACTACCCACTAAAACCCAACAAAGCCTTCCCCCGTCTTAATGGGGCGTCGCAGGATCGCTTACGCATTCAACTACGACGCCCCGACGGCAGGTCTGCCGAAGCAGACCACCACAACCATGGGGTTGCTCCACGGTCCACTCTGCTATCAGAGAAGTACCAGGAGCAACCCGCAAGGTACACCGCCCACCGAAGTGGGCAACCTCCCTGTGCGTTTCTTAGCTTCGCGCCCGGTTGGATTGCCGGGCACTACTGAGCCCCCCCCCCCCCCACCACGACAAGGTGACCGCACGTTAGTTGGGAAATAATTCTTACCTACATTATTATATATTTTATTTCCGTAAATATATTTACACAATATATCTATATAAAAAACGGAATCGTTATACTTTATGTACTTGTTAATGTATTTAATTATAATAATTTCAATTGTTAATGATAGAATTCGTGCAATATATTTAATAGAGCTATTAATTTAAATACATTTTAACGGCGCAATTACTATCAGTATTCAGTTTTTGTGCTGAAGTCTTAATAAATTCTATCAAAGGAAAAAGCACTTAGAGTGTATGTAACAAGGTAGTCAACTGTTATGGCTACGAGAGGAAATGTTTAAAGGCTAAACCAAGGCCATTAGACCACCAAATGAAGACAAAAACGTGGAGGTCAAGGCACTTCGCCTGTGATTAAAAATAAGAACAAAGAACAATACACCATAAATCTCATATTACAATAATTTTGGTTTTTACATATTTAATTATATTCAGTTTGAAATAACCTTTTTGTTTTAAGACTAGGAAGTCATTTGTATTTTTTAAATTACAACCAGCACTAAAAAGCAGCAAAAAAGGACAAAGAACTGTGTTTACAGATTTGTCGCAAGCAGCTTGGCAACCTGACCAGTTTAGACTATATTCTAATAAAATATATTCCAAAGTTGTCATGGCCATATAATTTTCTTTAATGTAGAGCATATCGTTTTCGATAAAATAATGTATTTACGATGTCAATATAATAATTTAGTATTAAGGGCCTGTATTGAGAGCCAGGAAAAAGATAGTGGAGCCCATCTATGGCTACTAGTAGGTACAATTAAATTAATTTTCTTGTTGATGGTTTCAAAACGTACACATTGAGCATACCTACTACATCATGGCTAGTGGCCATAGTATTTGGGCTGATTAGTTTTGACAAGTCCGATACTCAGTTTTGGGTTCGGGAGTTAAATTTTTTGTGCTTTACCTATTGACAATTGTTCGTGTTTTTTTTAATTTCTTAGTAAAATATTAACAAATTCATAACAGAACTGACAGGTTTACAGGTTTTGTTATGGTCAAAATAATTGACGTCAACAGATATTGCTTTGATAAATGTATTAAAATTGCTTTCTTGCTACATATTCGCTGCTACGCCTACAATAAAATTAAAAAAGGTATTCATTTAAAATACATATTATGTATTTACTCTTCATATATCAAAATATATAGTTTGTCCTGCGTTAGCTTGCATCGACGTCAAAATTGTCTGATTAAGTAATACATAATGAAAATGATGAAATCCGTTCTGTATTCCGTTCCGTTGTATATCACAAACAGTAAAAAATAACAGAAAATCGATTTATATAAAAATAAAAAAAAATTGAATCCAAACATCATTCCCACGTATTTTCACATGTGCTTAGTAATGTCAGAATCTGCATTAATCAACATATTTCGCTTCTTAACAGCACGGACGAGTCGACTCACGCGTCGATTGTCAGCCTCCTTGAATGGACCACAAAAACGAACGTTAAGATTTTTATTATGTTCGAAACGAGATATTGCCTTGAGGACAAACTCGAGGCGGCACACTGTAACCACCGTGTGTTGAACTGTTGCGAACAAATGCTTATCTTGGTCCAACGTCTACATATTGCCCATTTAACTCTTTATGTTATTTCAAATAATAACAATATAAATCCATATGACTAAGAGCTCGTATAACTATTGATATTTGTTTTTGTTGTAATTGGATAAAAAGCTTGTCGAAATAATATTTACTTTATGTTTATGCCAAAACAATATTTTCGTTTTTTGTACATATATTTCCATTGAACATAATGTTCATGAAGTATGTCATGTTCAATTCAAAATAATATACATATATCGAATTGAATACCCTTTACTGCTTATCTTTTAGTATTATAATTTTTTTTTCTAAATTTGTATTTTCAGTGTAGTATACATTATAAATATTAATAAGAAATATTATTAACTTATTGTTTTTCAGAGAGTCTACCACTAGTTCAGAAAATATGCATTATTGTTAGTTCTGAGAAGAACGGCCCTAAGAAACGTAACCAGACTATAGACTTTTTTTAGATAAAACTAATAATCGTTGGTTTTTGTATATTTTAGTGTTATTTGTATTTTATTGTTGTAGTTGGATAAAAAGCTCGTTCAAATTTTAAATATTTCCGTATAAGGTAGAAAAAATATTTGTGGAAACCTAAAGTTTTTAATTTCAACAAAAATCAATGACATAAAAAACCGCCTAGGAACCGCCATACCGCTGAAATGCTATTAAAAAGATCATGAAAGTACCTATAGACATTTCCATTTATTACCTACATTATAAATGATAACAATTTGTATAATTTCTTAAATCTTAGTATCGTTGTCTGAATAACAAATTGTTAATATTGATAGGTATAACACTAAGACAACGACAGTTCAGAACCGAGGTCAAGATAGCGAAGTGGGCTTATTGAGGCTGGCTGGGCGTGTAGGAACAACCGCACGTATGTGCTTAGGTAGAGGTCAGCTTAAATTGGTGTGGCGCTAACCGAACTTCATTCTTCCAACTAATCATTGTATAAACCGGTTTAAAAGAATCTGCCTTGCGTCAGTCATACACGTGTAAACATTTTAATTGATGATATGCGGAAAACAAAAATATACGATAGAAATCACCGTGACTCGATCGTTCTATTCATACGCCGAATTCCATTTTGCAAGACAAAGAAAACGGTCTTCTAATTTGACGTACATAAGTAGTATAAATGAAAATGCTTCAGCGAATTGTAACAAAATAGCTAACTTTTAGTCATAATGATGATTCATTTACGTAGGATATTAATAATAATAATATTTATTAAACAATAAAGACACATAAAACACTAAACATTATAACATACAAAAACAAGCATACATATATTATTATACAGATTAATTAGTTTTTAAACCTCAATTTAGATTAGGCTGTGTCGACACAAAATATATGGTAGCCTCTGTTGCCGTACTAGGAGACCGGCAACTATTATTTATTAACTATTAATTTTAGATAGATGATATCGTTTTCGTCTCAAACTAAAGTATTTGCATTTGCTTGAAACTACCTTACATTACAAAGTTAACTTTCTAGCTCAAAGCAATTCAAAGTTTTTAATAAGCAAATGACTTTTTTATATTGAACATTATCAATAAAATAAAAAAACCTTAAATAAGTAACATATAATATACTCTAAAATTTATTTATTGAATTGAATTCTCCATAAAAATAAATATATTTATAAAAAGAAATATATTTTTTTAAATAATTAATTGATTACTAATGAATTGATACAATCTTGATCTTGATCAACATAAAGTATGATTCTTTTAAATGATATGTAAATAGTAAACCATATAAATCGTGTATTTGTGTTATTTTAATAATTTTTTCCTAATTATTCTGTACGTTCAAGGCTATAAGCCTTCGCCTGTATGATCACGTAGTACGAAGTAAACATTCGTTCACAATATATAATTAAATATTCGCTTTTACCGCATTTTCATCTGTATAAATCTATTATATTTTAATTTGATCGTCGCTTTTAACCGCTAATACAAGACATTAACAAGCGTGGCAAATAATTTAACAAAATTTTTTTTAATAACAAGTTATTAAAATATAGGTACATACTACAATCATTTTCAGTTTCATACGTAAGCTAAATAAGGAAATACACGATAAAATATCCATATCGAGATTGTTAAATAACGAAACGTCGAAATATTTTAATGCACGTATTCGTAACTCGTTCGTCAGTAAAAAAGCAAAATCTGTTTCAAGGACAGCGACTCTATTATCACTGTAATTTCGTCTTAAATTATAATAATT